CACTGTTCTGCGGTAAACACCTTCGTAAGATAACAAACTGAATCTCTTTGTTTTTCTATGTGTCTGGAGGCGTTCTCGACCGGTTCTCTCCGGTGTCGGTTCATAACGGCAAAAGATCGATCAGATTTGCGCGCGGTTGCGTCAATGATTCCGGGAAAAATTCCGTCAGTTTGTCGTACAGCTCGGTTCTCAGCGTGTGAATGTCGCGGCTGTTCTGGGCGTACATCGGTTCATGGAGGAAACTTCCTAGCATGCTGCCCGAGCTGTTCGAATTCGTGGCTTCCTCTAACAACGAGTTCTGCTCTTTGAATAGAATAGACGTTAACAATTGAAACTGCAACGAAGAAATTGCGTGAGGTTCAACATGTAAAATCGAAGGAACGTACTATCACCTGACAGTCGCAGATAAAAATGATACTACCTCTTTCGTCTGTTCGGCGTCGTTGTGATCAATGATCTCGAACACTTGAACCTGCAAATATTTAAGCGCCTCCACGCTGTTGCTCAGGGCCAGTTCTTTGAACTTGTGCTTCCTGATCAACAGCTTGCATCTCTTCAGGATCTCGTCTTGAGAGGGTCGGCACAACTTCAGCTGCCAGAAATCGTCGAGTCGTAGGTTTCGAATGCAAGATCTTCCTGGATTTCCTCCGAATAAGAAGTGTACCTGAGAAACAATCGCAACAATGAATTGGCAAAAAGAGGATGACGATTTTAAGATGTTTATATACAACACCTTTTTAACGTGGTCGTAAACCAACTGATGCGCGAATCGCGGGCAGGGAACGTAATCTTGCATTTTGTTCCAGTACTTCTCTCCTACGTTCTCGTGTCTATAAATACATGACCATTTGTTGTTTTCGATATTGTAAACCCAGAAGGAATTCTGCACGTTGTCGTCTCGTTTATCCTTGTCCTTGCTCAACCCCTAGAGAAAAGAACAGAGGAAACAGAAGAATTGGAGATCTGATTGCAATATCTGTATCGTTGTTCTTATTAATCAGAAATATTTCAAACGAACCGACAGCACGTAGATCTCTCCTAATTCAGAATCGATCGTTGCCCTCTGCGTGAAACCAGCTGCAGGCACGTGATTCGAATCGCTTGAACTGGAATCGTTGAAGTTTATATGCTCTATGTGGTTCGTGTCGATCTCGTAGGTGACGAAATCGCTGAGATACTCTTTACCCCTTTGACCCGCAAAAATATATAGTTTTCTTGAACCCTGCGATAAACGAATAACATTAAAATTCGATGTGTCGCGCTTAATGAGTGTCGTTTGAAAAAAATTTTCAACAGATATACCGGATGGAAGAGCATAGAATGGCCGGCTCTGGATCTGATGGTCGGCACGTTCGGAGGGCACGGCCTCGCAATGTCGCAGGCCAGTTTCGTCCATGTACCGGTAGGCACATGATAGGAATACAGTCCAGAGAAAATTGGTTCAGGCAGGTTCGGTATTATACGGTATTCATATTCGTCGGAACTGTAGATTAGACGGCCTTGCTTAATATTGTAATTGCCTAAGAATGTAGAATCGAGTGACACTTACATGTTTGGCGAAACAACGACGCGACCACCGAAAATATAAATGGTTCGCTTTTCGACATCCATGGACATTTGATGATCGAAAATTAATTCTGGTCCACCCACGGATTCTGTGTCTTCCGATATTTGGGTCCATTTATTCGACTCGATATCGTACACGAAAAAGTCGCTCTTCAAGTTCTCTAGCTTTCTGTACTGCGTGTCTAAATATCTTCCAAGGATGAAAAGTTGTCGTCGTTTAGGGTCTAGACACATTTTATGACAGGATCTCGCGCTCGGGCCGCCCTACAGTCATCAATTTCAATCCTCGGTCTAATTAGAACCGTTCATTTTCTCTTACTTACCACAGCTTCTGCGTCTTTGCATATGATAGTCCACTTGTTGGTAGCTATGTTGTACGCCCACAGGTCAGAAAGATCTTTATTTCCATCCCATCCTCCGAATAGATACACCAGCTCCGCGGTGGGATCAAGTACCATTTGATGGCCACCTCTCATTCCAGGTTTAGGATCATCGGTCGACAATTTCGACCAAATTGCTCTATAGGTTTGAGCATGTATATAATCGTTTAATAGACCCACTGTAACGTAAATTGTACTACTCCCTAAGGTTGCAGAAACTTATTTTGTAAGTTGGATATGAGAAAATCAATGAAAACTCACTCATCACAATGTTACTTATAAAATGTTCAGCTTGCAAATAATCTCCCTTCGTCACCAATAGATCGTACAACGCGGTCAACCTAGGATCTTCCAACGAAACCCCTGTAACTCTTTGTAATGTTTGTACAATTTCTGGTTGCTCCAATCTTCTGAAGTGTTTCATACAGAGTCTTATCACCTCTTTCTGACGATACTGAAACGAACGACCATCTGTTTTTTTTCATAGGTAGAGAAGCAACATCATTTTACAGAGAATACGTTGTTATATTTACCATATTGAAGCATTCAATGTTGGGTTTCACTATTTTAGGGTCGTCGATACCGCTCAGTTTTACATACCAAATAGAGAAGTTAAAGCTGGGACCCCAAGATTGTAACGGTAGAATCTTTATGTATCTAACTGGAAAATAATTATCCTTGTTTCCTAATATATGCTTTAAATCGAATGTTTCTGGCATAGAATCATTTTTCAGTCCGCTAAAACGAAACAAAAGCAGTTATTATTTACTACAGCCTCAAGTTACAACTTACAGACTCACCTTTCTAATAGTTCCATCATATTTTCCGGTTCTAAACCGCCGTACACTTTGAACTTTTTTATGTTACATACGTGTGTTTTTTCATATTTACCGAAGGTAATTGTTTTCACAATTGAAGGGCGTTGTAACTTTAATATGAGAAACTAGAAAAAAAAACGGACACATTCAAACGATTTACGTATCATCGCAATAATATTAGATGATAAATTCAAACGACAAATTAGATAACGGTTCAGTTTCTTAAATGCTGTAAGAGCGAATTACGTTAATTTTAAACGATGTTTACCTGTGGGTGATTGTCAATATCGGACGACCAGCGCGATGTCTGATCCGACGGTTTATCCACGAGAATATTTCTAAGAGGAAAACGGAAGAATGTTAATCTAAAGATCGTCGAACAGCTCGATACAATAAAAACACTTGTTCACTTGATAATTTTACATGTAGAACGTGTTCGCTTTAAATCACAACCCCTTACTTTAGGTTAGAGATACGTTCGCGACGAATAAACGTTTCCTAGCCTACAATCGCGACGATATACTCGTCGGTGGACTATTCGGATATCGAGAGACGCCTTACCCTGGCACGTAAGATGAGAAAAAGCTGGAGTACTTGTAGATTTTGAACTCCAAAACTTTCTGGGAATCGCTATTTTCGTTGGACGCCATGTTACACAAATGACATAAGCTTTAACCACTGGACGTGTGTGCGATTTTCACAGACACAATTATATCGGCAAAACGAGCGCCATGAGAAGAAAACATGACCCGGTGAACGGCAGTCGGTTACGTGTATAACTAACAATACACACCTGAAAACTGATCGTCTTTACCGGAGGAACTTTACTCGGTTCACTGACATGTCATATTATTCTTATCCGTTTTATGATCGCCGCTTTTGAATAAAATATGAAACGCTGATGTAACGTTCAAATCATGTATTTGTCCATAGATGTGTATAACACTTGAGGATCTCGTTTTTTTTTTATTTACACGCTAGATTAACGATTTCATAAATACATATACCCTATTTTCTTATGTAGACTCGAAGTACAGATATAGGCGTCGCGCGACATTCGTGACGAATACAAAACATAAAAATATACACAATTTACAGTCGTAGACCAAGGACAGAGAAGTTACAACAAAAAAATATATACGTATGTATATATACATATATTTCTATATATTCATATATATATACATATATATACGCTCGTAATTCTGTCTGTCTGTATGTGTGTCTATGTGTGTGTGTGTCTGTATATGTATTTGTCCGTTCAACTTAAGATTAAAGCAAAACACAACAAATCCACGTGACTTTGTCAGGAACGTAACCCGACGATATTTCCTAAGAAAAAAAAGAAAAAAAAACTGTTATTCTTTGAAGTTTGTAATTACGAACCGTTTTATATTTCGTAGCGTGACGACCGACGATTTACCATAATGATTAATACATCCGTCCGACGTGTTACGACTGGAATTATTGAGCAGTTAAAATGCTTATAAAAATTAGAAAAGCGTGTTTCCTGAGATATTTTATCTTTAGTGTCTACGTAAATAAATTTATTCGCTGATTCCCAGAGAAAGTACCGCACTCTCGGTAATTACATTTTGGAAATGGTTAACAACTTTTCTGTCGTGTACGGACCTGCCTGACGCAAGCTAGACCCAATGACAGATTCGTTAGCACGTAACAAAATTGCGCACCGTCATCGTTCCGTGTTTTGTTCTAATTTTAAATCGAACGAACCGTACGTAAGCTTGTGTGTAGCACAAGATCGTATATATATATAACGAACCAACGTATTCATACAAATGTTACGTTCGTTCTCTGTACCGGTAGTGTGTGGTCTTCCGAGACGCTACCCAATTAATTGGCCCCTCCTGACAATATTAAACGTATTATTGCCTTATCCGATGGAAATTCCTTAAAAATGTTCCCCGCCCCCGCCCCGCCTCCCTCCCCGTTAAGAATGCTATCGTTGACCTACCGGTTGGGCGCGAAAGAGCGGTTCCAATAGAAACGCGGTAC